GACCAACTGAAGCTGGCGAATCTTTGTCATCCACAGTACCTGGTTAATAAGGAGGGTCGCACTGCAGGCGCACTGCTATAGCATTGCAGTCTGGATAGCCCTTAGGGTTATTTCGACATATTTTTCCTTTTGGAGCGATAGGATGATGGATTTTCTTTATGAAGTTTCTATGATATTTGAACAGCCCTAGGCGGCTGGCCCTTGGGCCCCCGGCTTGTATGGGCCCCTAGGTTACACCTTTGGAAAGAAATAATAACGCAACGCAAGGTGTAACACACATACACACTTAGCATATATATGTACATATCCCATACACCATATACCATATACATATGTACATATACCATATACCACATACATATACAATAAATGTACCCTCCCTAGATAGATAAAGCATCTCACATACGACAAACACAAATACCAGCCACCGAGATTGCCCTGAAATCACTACTTCGAGTAGTATTCGGTATGTGAGTACCCGTACGTGATGAATCAATCATGTGCATACATAAATTCTGTATGCTACAAACATACATAATTCTATGCTGGTGATAGCAAGGGAACTGGTAGGCAACGAAGGCGCAACGTCATTAAGGCAGGACACACGTGGCATGGTGCATGTGCACAACAAAATTACCCACTTACCTTGTAGCGATACTCCGCTGGGTCGACGAACAGTTGGCTGCCTGTGTGGGGCCAATCGTTACCGTCATACACGCTGATCTTGGCATCCGGTGCAGCACCGGTTTCTTTATCATGCTGATTGTAGATCGATCCTGCAATGCTCCCTGCCATTTCCGTGCCATGACCTTCAGGATCACCAAGCCAATACTCCGTTCCTGCGTGTGCCACATGACAGAACGAAACTTCGGATATGCAACATGCATGAACAAATCTATCTTTCAGCTTTCACTACATATATGTACAAAAACAACCGCTTTACCAATACTCATCAAATAAACAATAAACAACATAATAATAACATAATATACAATATAACATATAACAATAATAATCAACAACAGGAATAATAATTAATATAATAAATAATAATATAATATAATATAATATTATATAATATTATATAATATAATATAATATAATATTATATAATATTATATAATATAATATAATATTATATAATATAATAATAATAGAATAGGGGGGAGGCCAGTGCATGGGAAATGGATGTCAGTCGGCTGCATGCAGCATGCCCCAGTATTCTTACTCTTCTGTTCCCTTGCCTTGCTGCCCCGCGGTGCAGTGCATATAGCCAGCTGCTGATGGGTGTGATATACCTGTAATACGTATCCTGTTAGAATATTTGTGCCTGTCTAAAACTGAACCAACAGCATCCAAGCAGTCAACATTGTACATTTGTTACTTAGGCACATGCACGGCAGGGGAGAAGCGACTAGAGCTTCTAAGTTAGGTTCTGAACGGTAGCGTATCGGTTTGTTAGTCAATCCCGGTTAAACTGATCACCAGATGTCCTGCAGGACATCGTACAAGTACTTAATAGATGCTCACGCCTGTAATTGGCATTCTGCCTACACTATCAGGAGCTCTCTTTGCTCTTACTTTCATGAGTACATTAGACAACGGACAACATAGAAGACACCAACATTGTCAACTTTCAGGTTAGCGTTGACTCTCTATTTTCCTCTCAAAATACTAGGTCTCTAGTCATCTTCATCACCACCTTCTGGAGATGGGCTCAACTCGCAGAGACAAAGTGATGACGGCCGACTGTGGAAACAGCACATCTGGTCAGCAACGCCCAACGCTAGGACCACAGACAGACGCGGAACAGCTAGCTGGCCTTTCTAGCAGCCAAGTGGATATTGTGCAGCAGCTCGTGTATGCCTTCGGCCACGCGTGCTTTCCCTGGTCGCCACAAATGAGGACCACCCCACGGCCCTGCAGCCCTGAGGACCACCCCACGGCCCTGCAGCCCTGAGGACCACCCCACGGCCCTGCAGCCCTGAGGACCACCCCACGGCCCTGCAGCCCTGAGGACCACCCCACGGCCCTGCAGCCCTGAGGACCACCCCACGGCCCTGCAGCCCTGAGGACCACCCCACGGCCCTGCAGCCCTGAGGACCACCCCACAACCCTGCAGCCCTGAGGACCACCCCACGGCCCTGCAGCCCTGAGGACCACCCCACGGCCCTGCAGCCCTGAGGACCACACCCTAAATGCGTGGCCCTCCCCCATGCTGACGGCCGCCTCCCCACTCCCCACTAGAGCCTCCGTCACCTCTTAAGATGTACAGCCCATGCTGCACCGGCCACAGCCCAAGGCGCCAGAGCCGCCTTATGAAAATAAGCCGGGATCCTCCTGCATGATGCAGCTTCCCAGCCTACCTTGCCACGGGATCAGATCCAAATAAGCCCACAACGCTCAGCTGGGCCAAGGATGGATGATCTCCCCTCATCTGGCATGATGGGCCTCCGACCCAACCCTTCTGGGGTTGCAACCACGAATCTGCCTTTCAGCTCAGCGAGCCTAGACAGTGAGTTGCCAATCGCTGGCCTGCTTGCAACGAAGTCCATCCACCTTGTTCAGTCATGCCCGTTCATGGTCTGCCACTTTGAGTGGCGGCTCAGAAGGATAAAATCCGTCTGGTGTGGGATGGTTGAGCCGTTAACAAGCACCTATATGTAGCTAAATATCCAGTTGAGGAGTTCCGCTATGAGGGCCTGTCACAGGTGCCAGGCTGGGTCGGCCCGGAGGACTTCATGTCCATCCTCGACCTGAAGTCCAGCTACCATCATGTCGATGTGCATGCGTGCAACTGGACACATCTCGGCTTTGATTGGCGCGGCCAGTCCTACATTTTCACCCAGCTGCTGTTCGGCCTTGCAACCGCCTGCTTGGCCTTCACCAAGCTCATGAGGGAGGTCATGACCCCATGGTGCAGGCAGGGTTGGCTCCTCCAGCTACATGAACGACCAGGTGCACATGGGCAAGGATGCCGTGAACCTGGGGCTGCACGGCGGGAAGCCATCCTCGGCAAACCGGAATAGCTTGGTTTTTGCGCCAACCGTGAGCCATCCATGCTAGGTGAGGTGTCCCAGCGGGCGCAGTACCTGGGCATGATTATTGACACGAAGCTAGGCATCTTTGCAGTCCCAAATGACAAGCAGGACGCCTTTTTGGCTAGCAATAAAAGCCTTTTGGGGGAAGCGCCGAGTTGCCAGCTTCATGCAACATTAATGTCACATGCTTTCGGCCCCCTCACTTCCCTGTACAGTCGCGCCATGGGCTTGGACATTGCATCATGCCGCACTTGGGATCTGCACTTGCGCTTTCAGGAGATGCCATTGCAGAGGTTGAGCACTGGGTCCACTGCTTCGGTCACTTCAACGGCACCCATACCCTTTGGGCGCCCTCCCATGTCCACTCCATTATCTTGTGTGACTCCCTTGAAGTTAGGTTCTGAACTGTAGCCTATCTTCTTGTTGGTTACCGTAGTGCTACTTATAGTTCGTGCTACAATAATTCGGGAGGCACCACGAATATGTAGCACGTACAAATTCGAAGGTATCCCAAGGGACCGCAGCCCCGAAATATCGTACCCTCTGAAGCCGGTCGATCAAACGTCGCAAAAACTAGGATTTCAAGGCGGAAATCAGCTCTTCAATACAAAAAATGTAGTCATAAACGTAGGACATGAACAACGCTCGAAAACGTGCAAGACAGGCAACCCTGCTTCAATGCGGGATGAAATCGCTAGCACCAAACGCTCCGGTGAGCGACCGAGCTGGATTTGCACCAGTTAGGCTTGATGATGCTGTTGTCGAGGCCCAGCGTGAGCGAATGGAGCACGAGAAGGTTGCTAGGCGCGAGCGCAATGCGGTCAATGCTACGGCAGCCGGCGAGGCGAGGCTTGCGCTCACGCCGCAGCCTGGCATTCGACCTGTTGGACGTCCTCTTCAACAAATCCGCGGGTCAACCATGGCTCGGCTGCAGTTCGCACTGGGCCCTGGCTTCACCAGGCAAGTCATTGTGACGCCCGCTCGGGTGGCCACCGCCACGCCCAAGTCTACTGGTCCGCGCGGCACGTACGCTCGATTCAGCAATGACGAAAAGCGGATGGTTGTGGAGTTCATCAGGGAGCGCTGCGCTGATTCGGTAAGCCCGCGACGTCAGGTTCGGGTGCCGTAAGCTGAGCTGGATACGGTATGGTACTTCATTCTAACCCTTGCTTGCCTTGTGATGCAGGTTGCCATGGGCATCAACTTCATGCACCGGGACCAGGGACCACAGCGGCACCTTTAACTCCGAGCGCCCCTTGAAGGAGTCCACGGTCTCTGGCTGGCTGGCTAAGTACAAGGAGAACCCGACCATCTTTGGGGCTGGGGTTGCCACACCCGGCCAAGGCCGTGATCATGGAGATGGTGCTCAGTGGCTCAACATAAGAAGAATGGCCGCCTAGCCTGTGTTTGCTCTCGATTACAGTCCCTAATTCACATTGACACCGTGCACAATCCCTCGTCCTTCTGTAGGTCACCTAACGGACGCTGCGTGAGCCTATAATCGAGAAGCTGCGGGAGGCCGGCTATGCCTACCTTCTGGCCGGTAGTGGCGGCACCTTTACGTGCAGTCGGGCCTGGATCCGCAAGGTCTGCAAGGGCCTGCGCCTCTCCAACCGGGCTGCAACGTCTGCAGCGCAAAAGCTACCCGCCGACTGGGAAGACATTGCCCGGCTCTTCCTGCTGCAGGTACATCGCTGTGGATCCTGCCGTGAGCATTAGAAACGGTAGCTGTTTGCACTGCCTCCTTTCCGTGTTCCCCGTTTGCCAATCATAGGCATTTCGTACCTCCCAACCCTGCTTCGGCCCTTCACCTCCATCCCTTCATAACAGATTGCCTACCTAGCCTTCAAGCACGAAATCCCGAAGGCGCTGGTCGTGAACGCGGATCAGACTGGCTGCAACATTGTGCCCATCAGCAAGCGCACATACGCCAAGATGGGCAGTCAACACATCCGGCAGGTCGGCCTGGATGACAAGCGCCAGATTACCATCGTGGTGGCGTCGGCGGCTGACGGTAGCATGCTACCACCGCAGGTCATCTTCCAGGTAGGGGTCTCTGAGGCCTACCCTTTAATAACCAAGTAAACCAAGTAGGAGATAGGATTACCTACTTAGGCCAATAGCTTAGCCGTTCTTGCATTTGTACAGTACCCTTTTGTCATTGGATGTGGTTCTGGCTGCACTATATTTTTCTTAGGCCTCTTGTTGCCATTGGTGTACCGTACCGTTACTGTACGGTGCCAACACTGGGTAACAAAGCCTTTTATCCCCACTCCTGTCCATCGCAGGGCGGCACCAAGCGCTCGCTTCCTCCCCAAGATTGCAGCAAGGGCCTGATGGACATCGGGGCGCAGCTGGCGTTCTCGCCCAACCACTGGTCCAACAAGAAGCTGATGGAGCAGTGGGTGGAGTTGGTGCTGCTGCCCTACCTCCAGCGCACCAAGGAGCGGCTTGGGCTGCCGCCTGACCACCCCTGCATGCTCATCAGCGACTGCTGGCAGGTGCACCTGTCAGAGGCCTTCCAGGTAAGGGGGAGGCCGAAAGTTTCGCGAGGGGGCCACCCGTAGTGGTGCGGACCAAGGCAGTGATGCGAACCAAAAGGATATGTATGGTGCTGTGCTGCCGGCCAGGGATACCCACATCCTATCCCACTGCCCTGGTACTGTACTAAGGCTGCCTTTCCACCGCCTTTGGCTTTGCAGGCCCACCTCAAGCGCAAGTGCCCCGGCATCCTGCTCAAGTACGTGCCAGCCAACTGCACCTCCAAGCTGCAGCCAGCGGACACGGCCTGCAGAAGCCACTCAAGGATGCTATCCGCAATGAGGCGAGCAAGGCCTTCCGGCGGCAGCTGGAGTCGCAGTTCAACAGTGGCGTTGCCCCCAAGGATGCTGTGCTCAACCTGCGCACATCCGCCATGAAGCCGCTCGTCTGCAGCTTCATCCTCGCCGCCTGGCTCTACCTGATAAGCCAACCCCAGATCGTCCTGCACGCCTGGGACAGCGCAACACTCTCGAAGGCTTGGGACCAGGATACCATCGACCAGGCGATCCGGAAGGTGCTCAGTGAGGGCGAGGCAGCACTCTTCCCACCACCCCGCAGCACCCGTGAGGCAGGCGCCGCCGCCACAGCGGCCACCACGGATATGCTGGGCCTCACCGCCACCACCGCCGCTGCTGCTACTGCCGCCATCACCCCCGTCACCACCAACCCCGCGGCGGAGGATGATGATGACACCGCCGACCCCAGCCGCTATGCCATTGTTGACGATGACGATGACAGCATGCTTGAGCGTGTACTTGAGCACGTCACGGAGCTTGATGCAAAGTTCAGCTCATGCTACCAGCGGACAAGGTGGAGGCCATGCGTGCAGCAACGGCTGCCAAGCGGGCGGCCAAACTTAACGAGCAGGCCAAGCGGCAGGGCGGTGTGAAGGGCGGCCGGACCAAGCAGGGCAACAAGCACGGCCGGGGGACGAAGCGTGCAGAGCCGGAGGGGAGCAATGAGGAGATGGAGCACGAGGAGGATGAGCCAGAGCCCAGCAGCAGCGAGGAGGAGAGCGAGGAAAGCGAGGAAAGCGAGGCTCCATCCGATTGCGAGGATGAGGGGGACGTGGATGGGGATAAGGGGGAGGAGAGCGAGGATGAGGGCGAGGTCCAGGCGCTGGTGAATGCTGTTCGCAGCAGATCAGGGCGGGCAAGCGTTCGGCCGCAGCGCTACCAATAGATGAGCATCATGTGAGGTGAGGGGTGGTGGTTCCTGTTTGGTGCATCCAGCTGCGTCGTAATGCCTTTTACGTCGGGGTTTCAGCCACATGAAGACACGTTTCAGTAGCAACCACCCAAACACTGTATTGGCCCGGCCGGTTGGTTATTAGGTCGTTGCCACTGGTACTGAACTGTACGATCGGTCCAGAATTTGCTAGGGCGTTTCCAAAGTGCGAAAATGGTGAGAGACCATGAGCCTAAGGGTTCCCGGTGGAGGGAGACTGACTGGAAGCTGCAGTTTGAAAAGCCCCGAAACTTTGGAAGGGGCCCCGAAATTTGTATCATGCCCGCAAAAATCTGGTCCGGCCTTCCCCGAAATTCAAAGAGCACGTACAAATTTCAGCAAGTTTTTTGACCCCTCCCCGAACAATGCGATCACGAACTATAAGTAGCACTACGGTAGTTAGCGCTGGTTACACCGTTCACTAGGATATCGTACTTATACCGGTTCACTCTTGTAGTTCGGCATTCTGCCTACACTATTCTTAGCTGTGTTTGCTCTTACTTCTCCCCCCCCCCCAATTAGTCCCGCTTGGCCCAGTCAGCAGTTCGGATGGACAACAGCCCACAGGGCACGATGGCGGACTGCAGCCAACCGACAACTACCTTTTACACGCGTGTGGCGCTTCAACCCAACTTTTTTGAAGCTAGCCCTCCCCTGAACGTGTTTAGGTGTCTACCTCAGTGGCAATAGCCCCTGGGAGGTGATCGCTTTGGCCACCTCTGTCTTCCCATACATGGGAGTGTGTCTGAAGCGTCGTAGCTGTACATAGTACGGCGTACATATCCTCTATAAATACGCGCTAAAGCGCTCCAGCCACGCACCAGCATCTATAGAGGCCTTTTCAGCGGCCAGCTACTACAGCCTCTCTCCATTCACTAAGTAGTAGTTCTACCTTTGCTACCAGACAAGCTGTGGATCCGCACATCCGGATGCGATACAAATTTTCGATAACCCGGTGTTGGTTGTACCCTAGGCCTACCTGCCTGCATATCCTGCTGGCTGACGGATGCTGGCCTGTGCCATCAGCTATCCGTTTCACAGTCGGTCTCCTGAATCCGTCCACTGGCATGTGGTTGGATGTTCAAGCAACCCCAAGCCCGACCCGTATCATGAACAGCCAAGGCAACTTCGAGTCTAACTCGCGAACTTGCGTTAAAAAGCAAGGGACGGCTTTCTGACATCCACTACCAACAAACAGCTTCCTTAATCCAATGTACAGTGAACACAAATACAGCAACGAACTCACCTCCGGAGTAGATGATGTACTGGACAACCTTCCTCGGTAAGTACAGGTCTTGCCATTTTAGCCACTTCAAAGTCCCCTTGCTGTTGGGGACATCCACGAAATCAAAACCCGAGAATATATCGTCGCGTTTCGAAAAAAGATCTGTGAAGTAGCAACTGTCCACATCCAATCCGGTGTCCGTGACCTGTATGTATGTTGTTACAGGGTGGTTAACTTCGCCAGCGGCCCCCTTATGTATGTATGTATGTATGTATGTATGAGGGCAAAACATGGGTTAGGATGGTCATGGCCCGCAGTGTACGACTCATGGAATGAGTGCAAAACATGGGCCGGGTTAGTCATGATAGGCTATATGATCATATATGACCATATAGCCTGAATTGCATGCGTCATGGCATACCATGCACAGCATGACCTGGTCATGTTCTGCAAGTCATAGATATTTATGTGCAGATATATGACCAACTTTACGGCCCCCTAGGGTCATAAAATGTACCAATGACTGGCTGGGGTCATATTGGGATCCACTTTTTGATAAATTGACATCATGGATCGCAGACATTCTATGACCCCCACCGGTCATAGTCTGCACTTGGCTTACACAAGCTATGAACTGTTCCCTGACCGGGTGGGTCTATGACTAAGTGACAAATCATGACCGGATCCCTGACTGGAAAACCCATCCATGACCAAGTCGTTCCCCCATCAAAACCCAAAGGAGCATTATGAGCTCAGCAGACAGCATGGCCCACACATACAACTAAGTTGTGGCGCCGTTGATCCGCTAGGTTTGGTTGGATGCTGCTGGTGAGTTGCTGAACCCAACGGAAACATTCTGAAGTCGGATGGGTGCCCTGTAACATCATACAACGCCATACGCATTTACACACATCAGGAGGCGAATACGTCTGTAAAATTCTATAGGTCGTGCCTTAAGGCTTGGTATAATACATAGGGATATCCCTATCGATGCGCCGTCCCTATCTAATGTACCAGCTGGCACGATCTATAGACTACCAAAACTTGTGTATACGGTATGCACGTAAGTGATAGACCGACAACATCGCAATATGGCTGCATAACAACCCAAGCTCATGGTATTGGACTTTTAAATTTATGTTGTGCAAATACTAGCAACAGCTCCAGCTCCAGCACCAGCATGTGCAGGAACGGCCCCCTGGCGCCGGCGCCCTGCCCCGCCCTATGTATGCCCAGATAAACACATACATCACCCGTCAAACACTTTTATGCTTACCCCGACTGTTACATCTTTTCCTGTGATACCAGCCTCCCAAAAGGGTTTCGACCGAAGTTTAACTGGGTCTTGCTCCTTTTCTGATATTTTACCTAAGGGATGGACATGGACATGGGATTGGCAAACAAAGTGGCTCGGGTGAACACCTTATACCGCCTATCGTACCTTTGTATCATTCAAGAAACTAAAGCATTTGGTGGCGGCTGGGCCCCCATGCATGCAGGCATATGTAAGCTGTGCACGAATAAAACCTTTGAATTATCACAACACAGGACATTAGGGTCTGTCTTGCAGCAGGCGAGGCCACCGATTCCACCACCAACATTCGAATACACTTGCCTGTGACGTTAAGGAGAGTCTACAAGTCATGTTCTTTTTACAGGCCTATCTATTATATTATGGCACGATCTATATCTAGTTTGCCCGTGTAATGTACGCGCGTATGCTTGCTTGTTAATAAAGCCCTTTCTTATGCATCATCATGTTCGTTCGTCCTTAATTAAGGCGCAATCACCGCCACGCACCTGTCTGGATCCCCCAAGTCTCCAGCGCATTAAGGGCCACCTTTTGCATTGAGGGTGTCAGCCAAAGCACGTTGGACCGTTGAGAAAGAAGTTTGACCCCAAGGAAGACATCCTGTGATCAGATACAAGCCGCAGTTGCGGTTACTGCCAATCAGCAATGAAGTAGTGGGGCGCACATTTAGCCATCCGAGTGTGCTTGCAAGCACACCGCAGTTCGTTCAGTATGTGCTCAGCAGTGAGGCATGCATGCATTACGCGAGAAGATAAAGCGGGGTAGATAGCTAGGGCCGCCAAGTGAGGTCGGCATATGCACCGGCATTAGTTGCTTTGCACTACTGGTACTGCTAGTACTGGCATAACACTACAGTATACTGGAGTATGCTACATAAGCACACAACACAGATCGGCCTGGGCATGAATCTGAAATCACATTGTAAGTTGTGGGGCTGGCAAGTGTAGCAGAGCTTCGGTGTTTGAGTCAGGTAGATACTAGCAGCACAGGAGCCTTGGAGAGCGCTCTCCCAGGCCTGTGCTAGCAGCGGTGTGTTTTAGGAAATACCTTTTCAGTATTCCACAGTAATCTTGCTACATTTTGTAACTTCAAGTCCATTGCTAAATACTTACGCCTGTAACTTCGTTAAATGTGCCCACGAGCTACTTCATGCACGTGTGCTTAAGCACACCAACAGGCTTGTTGGTGAAATGGCGACAAAAGAGCCCTAGGTAGGTAGGTAGGTGGCGAGCCGATCGAGTTCTATGGAGTTCACCCAAGGACTGTTGATAGACAGACATCGTGCGGGGAAAATTGCAGTGTGTGAGTGCCTTTTCCCCAAGGCAACACGGAAGAAACATAGGAACACTGCCCAAGTCTCAGGTCTAGATAGGCTCTGTAACACGCTATGCAGCTGCTGCTGAACAATAATCAACTGAAAGCAGACAAGCCAGCACATGTACACCCCAAAATACGCATGCAGCACGGAACCATGAACGAAGGCTCTACCCATCATCATGAGCACGTGTCCAACCACCCGTAGGATAGGTACTTAATTTCTCAAGCATGTAAATGCAATCTGCTACTGACCTGAAAACAGAGGAAGACGTCCAGTCTAGGACTGTGCGTGCTGTAAATTGCGTCCGCCAGGCTCCGTGGACGGCAGGGGTCGGTGTCACTGCGGTCCAGTGCTGCAGCTAAGCGCCGTGCCAGATTCCCCCCCATGTCCTGCAGCTCCTCAGCACTCCTACCAGGTACGATATGTACCGTGAAGCCGTACAACGCAGGGCCTTTCATGCCGGGCGAGATGCTCCCATTATTCTTGCCCACTGCCTGTCCGGGCTGACCCACAGCTGCTGGGTTCTGCATCTGAAGGGAAGCGCCTTGGTCGCGCATCCCCACAATTTCATCAACATGTCGAAGTCCAGACATGATGACAGGGTCCCATTTTCGGAGGTTTCTTGGTAGGCAGGCCTCATCTGGCAACTGTTCTTCTGGCAAATAATCACCGTCATCAGGATGATGGCGGCTGTTCCTCATGGACTCGGGGGGTGGTGCTCTGCTGTTGGTCTCCCGCTGGGCCTTATGAACGCCGCCGCCGGCTATTACACATAGCGACAGGAGGTGCGCCAACTCTGGAGAAATCTTTAAATCTGGCTCAAGCGGTGCCTGCGCGGGTTTGGCATATTCGGCATTGGCGGCAGGAGTAATATGGCAGGAGTGTGGATTCAACATGCTGCCTTGCTTCACTAAGGTTGCATATCATAACTCTGTTGACGGATATAAGAGTAATGGATGAGGTAGTTTACATACTAAGTACAGGTAATACTTGCTCGACATTATGTAGATAGCAGGGATAACTATACTGCTTACGTGTACGTACCCGTACATACCCGTGCATGGGTCAACTACGTATCTGTAACAAGCACATACAAGCACCGACAAAGGCAAGTGCACAGGTCTACAAGTCAGTCAGTCCGAAAGGATTAGAGAGAACATGGCGCACGGTAACAAAACAATGCATGCACGACTTACAAACAGTGTTTCATGTGCTTCTGCAACCTCAAGAGCACTCGCTGGGTCCAAATATGCCATCAGTGCACCATCTCCGTATAAGTGTGGCATCACAAAAGCACCCTTCCCAACCAAGCCAGCATGGAGGTCTTGCCGTCTGTCCAAAGATGCTACATGCATGGAGGGCAGCAGCGGCGGCAGCAACAGCAGTCCATGTCCATTCACTTATGATGGATGGTGCGTGGTTGCTGAACATAGCACACAACTATCATAGACACCATGCGCGGCGACAACGGTCATCATGCACAGCAAAGGGCAAAAGTGAGGAATAGTGCACATTAATGGGTGAGGGATAAACTTGGGATGAGGAGGGTGAGAAGGATTGGCCATCTGACCCAGCAGGGCACAAACCTGTTGTTGAGGCGAGTTGGAAGACATGTAGAAGGCTTGTCTCGCCTGCACTTTCTGACATCATTCTCGCTGCCGCTGCTGTGAAGGAACCAGGTGACGACGGATTCGATAAATTCCTCTTGCTGTGGAGGAAAGCCACCTCTTCTGCCGACCTGGAAGTAGGTGATAAGGATAATGAATAGATGTTGACCTGCCTGTTCGTTAGATGTCTCGCCTGGTAAGCTTACCACTTAAGTGCACATGTGCACATGTCTGCAACAGCTGTAAAACTATTGATCTTCTATAGATCGCAACCTGGGAAAGTAGGAAGGGAGGGTCCCTATCAAATGTACCAGGACACAATCCAAAGAGGGTCGCTTATGTGCTTCCATCGTCCCATGTAGCCCATGCATAATAATGCGTGCCTTTTGGATAAGCAATGATTCATGGAGATGGGTGATCATCAAGGTAATAATAAGGTAATAATTGTCGTATATCTATGCGTGGACTGCTGTTATGGTTGAAGGAGGCAAGACCCCGTTGTCACCCCGCCACCGCTGTGCATGTCCCATACTGCACCACCCAGCTATCGTGCCGGCAGTCTACGTGAGGCTGCTGGCCCTGCTCATTCTATGCGTAATCTCATGTCGTATGCTTTCGTACGACATTCATATGATGTGTGAAACAGGGGGTTATATCTTCGCCCGTGGCAGCTACCCTGCGAAACCCTGCCTTCCCCGGTATTTCGGGGCACCCTCATCTAGTCACCCTAGTCAACTTCTCAGTGGATCGCTCAGGTTCCGAACCCACCACTCGCATCCAACGGAATCTGCCGGGTCGACAGCGGCCCAACCCCGTTCCTGGTCGGCTCGCAGGTTAACTTTATCCCAGGTCACCACCGTCCATCAACTAGGGGCGCAATACCTTCCACCATCGGAAGGATTTTCGACCCTAACAGGTCTCGATCCCCGGGGGCCAATGGTCGTGCGTTACCAGTAGTGCCAAACCCTAGTATTCATACGTATGCTTAGCTAGCATAGTTAGAGCGTCGGCAACCATTTGATCCCTACTGCTGACAGCTTTCTATATGTCAATCATAGCACGCACCAGTCCTGCACCAGTCCTGCAGTCTCACTCATTACCTGAGGTGCAGAGTGCCACTGCGAAACTGAACAATTCCGGTGCATCTGCCAACGCAGCCACCCGTAGCAACCTGGAGCTGCGCAAATCTCGCCACTGATAACAGCAACAGAAGCCAACAGGGCATGGGAGCTCGTATAGCTGCTGAACGAGCAAGTCTCGCATGTAGGCCGGTGGCCATCATCATCTGCTGAAAATGAAAGGGATGCAGGGAAACCGGCATAACATCAACAGTTGCGCATCTTCGATTCAATTGTCATTATACTTTGTTAATAGGACGTAATATGCGTCTGGATACATTTCTGTCGACGGTACATCAATTGGTGTGTGCTGATCTGCTGCTAGGTGGTGCGACGATAAAGGCCTTACAGACATACTTGGAAATGTACTCGCTCGTTCGTCTCACATGCTGTTCCTCCCTCACTCTTTTCACCAAATATTCGATATGGTAAATGACCGGGTCTTTACATAGTTTATATCAATTGTACGTACGTACGGCCGCCGAATGGTGTCCTGTGATATATAAACATAAAAGGTACCATACTGTTTTTGTGACACGCTTTTTGGGCAAGGAAGCCATGAAGCGCAAGGAAGTCAATCTGTCAACCAAACAAAACAGGTTAGGCACCACAGAGCTGGTCCCCGTACAAAACCCGCAAAAGTCCCCTCTGCCGCAAGGGGTGGAACCGCAAATCCCGGAACCTCCCTTCAAGCAAAACTGTTATGAAACACTCAGCCCGTCAGTCATAAGATACTGTATGGCACCGTTGACACGCGTTTCCCTGCACCTACAAGAATTTACTTCATGAGAGAGGATGTCTGGAAAGATGTCTGGAAAGCAACCAGTACCACCCACACACAGGAGTGAACGTCTCAGCGGTAACGGGCAGGTTTGCTAATCTGCCGCTTGTTGCCAGCACGGGCCTCCGCCAACTGCACTACCTCCTCCTCTTTATCCCCCCCCCCACTCGTCCGACTCCCCCTCGCTGCTCTCGCCCCCGAGGTCTCGCCCTCAACGAGCTCCTCGCTGCTGCTCTCGGCACCACGTCATCCTCCACCTCCTCCGCCAACACCATCTCCTCCTCCTCCATCGCACCTGCCGACCGCTTCACTCCACACCGGCCACCACCCCGCCCTCGCCCGCGGCCACCGCGCCTGCCACCACCCCTTTTGTTGAGTGGAAAACCATAACATATAACTAATTACTGAGTTAGATTGAGAATTCGGACCTGTTCTGAGCGGTATTCTGCATGTTTGACGTACGGCATATTGGTGACACTTATTTTGGCGACGTTCATAAAAATCTGCCACAGAGCTTTTTCCTCTGACACGCATTTGGTGACGCCATACCCATTGCGTGTCACCAAAATATCGTGGCAGTACGGTACACAGAAATGCGGCCAGAAAAATTGTAAATAAAAAGCAAGCATACAGCCTTCGCTCGTAGCCTTCTCCTCACCTGAAGTGAACCTGCACAAAGATAGAGAGCATCATAACCAGGACTTGCTTCCCAGTATTAGAAAACTCCACCAGCGCTTATTACTTTAACTGCAAGTACCTAGGGAGCACCTTTCTGCCCTTTAACGAATGGATGCACACAGTTCCACGCTTAGCAGCCTATCCCAAGCTGGAGTCCGACTTTGGAGTCTTCTTTTGACATTCTAGGCCTCGGGGCTACTAGCCTTGGGGCTACTCAATAAGACCTTGTCTAAGCGATCATTCATAGACAAATGGATGGCTGGGTGCTACCGTTTAACATGCTCATAAACACCAGTTTTCAAATACACGCTCAGCATGATGTTATGCTCACGATGTGCCGGCTTGGCTTGGCTTGCTGCCGTGCCCCTCCTTGCCCTATCTATAGACAAGCCAGCGGCCATTTTGCATCAGCATCTATCGGCAGCCCCCACCAGGGTACATAGGTGTCGCCTCAACAAGCTGGCGCCAGCATAGCCGATTGCCGAGTCACGGACGACGGAGGAAGGTGGCAGTAATATTACACCTCTGGAGAGATTGTGGTGTGCGCGTGGTGCGACATTCCCTAAACCCGGCATTCTTACGAACTAAATTGTAATATATCGGGGGGGTTTGTTACTGCTGTCCATTCTCTGGTATATGACTTTCGGTCACTTTCCAACACCCCCCGTGAGCAACGCACCCTCGCTCAGGGCATCCCCTAATGCCTCATCTCGGCTCCCCCACTCTGAACAACAGCGAGTGGGAATCGAACCGGCGACCTTTGGCGGAGCGCTCAGCGCTATCGGAACTCATAACCTGTCAAAGACAGCAAAGCGCCGGATTCCTCCCGGGTGTTATGAAGATCTGCTTTCACCATTACCTAATACTGGTATGTGTGTCGGTCACTTTCCAACAATAAAAGCATCCCGCAATTTGCTTTGAGAACCGCCAGAAGTAGTTCACTACGTTTGAATAAAAAAACCTTCCTATGGAAGCATTCCTTTCCATTTGCCTGTTGGAGAGTGACCGAAACTCATATACTAGTGAATGGTGACAGCAATATTAGGACCTGAGGGGGTCCGGCGCTTTGCTGTTTCTAACATTGCCGTTCGGCAACTTGTTCGCTGGACGTTTTCAAGCCCCTTATTAAATTTGCACTTATCACCTTCATTAAAGAGTTATGCGAAACAACAGAACGCGCCTGCAGCGAAGTGCACCGGCGGCGTTTCGTAAAATTTGTGGATAGCGGAGGTACTCCACTGTAAACCCCAGGAAGTAAGGAAGATTTCAATAAGCAATAAGTCACAATAACTAATCGTTGATCATAAGAAAAATCAGAAGGACTCACCAAAGCAGTAAGCAGCGTTCGTGCGTTCAACGTTGCGCCAAGCACGGATGACAAGCAGGTCGAGCAATAATACTTTCTGTGGTCGGCTCAAGGATGGAAGAGATCATTTGGAGCGAACAAGCTATGCTTAAGGTTGGTTAGATGGATAATTCGGACAGAGTTGGAAACATCAAGCAAATAAATTGGAGTGCGCTGTACCAAATGTTGATTATAAATCTTCCACTGCTACTGTGTGCGAGGATGGGTTAGAACTGCATGGCGGATGGACGTTGGCTCCATTTGTACTACATACACGAAGCTAAAGTCTACAAAGTCTACAGGGTTGCACGAATCAGCAGATCATGAGCTGTTCTGCAACTCGGGCGACTTCATCATCATCACTTTCATAGCGCGATGTACCAAAATTGCATAGCGAGTTCCATTAGGATGCGGAATGGAGCGATCTACATCAGGCCATAGAATGTCGGTCGCATATCGCACCCACGACCCAGAAAGTCCTGCCCGCTGTAGCTCAGGCTGGCAGCAACCTGGCATGAGGGAAAATTGAACGAACAAGCGAACAAACGAAGGAAGCGAACGAACAGCAGTGGCATGTGACTGAATGGTGGATAAGTAGTTGGTCCCCATGTCCTTTCCCGCTTCTCGCCTCTGCATTAGCCCCAGGATGACCTTCTGCATCCGGCCGTCCTCCGCCTGCATGTCAGCATGAGCGAGTGCGCGTGTGCCCCGCGCAGGTGTTAAAGCTTGCGTCTGCAAAAAGTATCATCAGCCCACATACTGACACCTCTTCCTAGACACAAATTCATTATGTCCCCACTGCTATAATTTGCTGGCCTGGATCCTTTTTTGGCCTGGCTTGCGTTGAGTAAGCACTTCGCCTCAAATGCTTATGGTTGCACGAGAAGGTTCCGAGCACTCTTTCCCAAAACGTACATCGAACCTCAACAAATGATTGTTTTGATGTTTTCCGTCAGTCACATGGAGACGTATTGCGTGAGAGTGCGAGCAAGAGTCGCACATTGAGGTTCGTTTGTTAGCCAGTGGAGCATGCATGAGGCCCGCTCATAAGGCCCAATCAAACGAGCGATACATTGTCGTACAATTCATCCCCCTCACTTTCAAACGCCCTTTAGGAGAAAAACCTCACCCTACGCGTATATATATGTTGTTACAGGATGGTTAACTCCGCCAGCGACCCCCTTTCCCGGGGCAGTCCCTGCTCTCCCCTGCTAGAGGGGCACCCTAATCCGTCACCCCATCCGACTTCAGAATGTATTCGTTGGGTTCGGCAACTCACCACCAGCATCCAACCAAATCTAGCGGAT